GCATCCCAAGCGAGCTCTTAACCATCGCGCCACTCGGCCGGCCCTAGATGTATTTTTAAGACAGAGCCAACAGGGTTTGCTGATGGATTGGAGATGGGATGTGAGGGGAAAATGAAAAGTCAGAGATGACTTGGAGGATTGAACTATCATTTACTGAGATGGGGGAGCCTGTAGGAGCAATCAGTCTTAGAGGGGAAATATCAGGAGTTTGGCGCGGGGGAGGGTAAGTGTGAAATGTCTGTTAGACATTTAAGGGATGCTGTCAAGTAGGCAGCTGAAAATATGAGCCTTGAATTCAGGGAAGAGGTGCAGACTCTCTTATGGCTGGTATCGAAAGCGATGAGATCTATTGAGATGGCCAAGGGACAGGAGGATAGATTGAAAAGAAGTTTGAGAACTGAGACCCTGTGACACTCTAGAATTAAGAGGTTGGGATCATGAGGAGAAGTCTATGAAGGAATAACCAGTCAAGTAGGAGGAGAGTGTGGTATCCTGGAAACCAAGCAAAGAAAGTGTTTATAGAAAGGGGGGAGAAACCAGCGCTGTCAAATACCGCTGACAAATCCAGTAAGACAAAAACTATCAGATTTAGTAAAAATTGTCTCAGATGCTGTTTTTTTTTTTTTAACCTAAGTGGCCTTGAATGAATTTAGTTAACCTCTCTCCAGAGATAACAATGGAACCTGCCTCATAGGGTGGTTGTGGATGAGATAAATCGTTTGAAGTGCCTTCCTCAGCGGGCTATTGGATAGTTGAAGGTGGAAGTCACTGGTGGCTTTAACAGTAATGGTTTCAGGGGAGCAGTTGGGACAAATGCCTAATTGCAGTGGGTTCAAGTGTGAATGGGAAGAAAGAATTGGAGACAGCAGACGTAGCTCTTTTCAGTATGCCTAAAAAACCAGATTAGACAAATGGGGAGTTTATTCATGGGAATGTGGCGCCAAGAGAAATTTCCTCTCTCTCTCTTTCTTTCTCTCTCTCTCTCTCTCTCTCTGGAAAAAGTATGCCCTTTGTTTCCTTATGCTCTTCTTCTCAGTCTTTCATTCATTTACCAAACATTGATGGAAGGTTCACAAGGTGCCAAGGACTGAACTAGGGTGCTGGGTAAAGAATGATGATTAAAGGGTCTATCAAACAGCAGTGATCGCAACACTCATAAAGCTTCTATTGTCTGGTGGAAATAGGCTTTCTAAAAACAAACAAATAAGTAAATACAGATTCTGATTAACGCTTTGTAGGAAGAGCACAGACTACTTTTGAGAGAGAGAGAGAATACCGTGGTGTTATTTAGACTGGGGCATTACAAGACCTCTCAGCTGTGAAAGAAAGGTGGCCATGACGGAGAGGAAGAGCGTTCCAAGCAGAGGGAGCAGAGTATGCAGAGGCCCTGGAGTGGGGGAGGGAGACCTGGTGCTTTTGAGGATTGGAGAGGTGGCCAGTGTGACCTGAGAGTTAGGAACGGACCATGTCATGCTGAGCTTGGGAGGCCATGCTAAGATTCTGGATTATATCCTCGGAGCAATGGGAAGCCATTGAAAAGTTTTAATGTGGGAGGTGACATGATGAGATTAGTATTGGGGAAAAATTAATCTATGCTGCAGTGTGTCATGGTGAATGGATTGGACGGAGCATCAGTGGAAAAGAATACCAATTTAGGCAAAAAGATAGTATGTAAAAATATTTAGACTGAAATATTTACAATTTTGCTATGAAAAAGATGGAATTGAGAGTATCCTGTATTTAGCAGAATTTGCTGTGTTTGCCAGGTTTCTCAACAGCTGTGAAAAGAGCATTTTCTTGTTAAAAATAATATCAGTATAGAAGAGTCAGAAGAAAGTATCAGTGATTTCAGAATATTGAACATAAAATGAAACTTTGAAAAAGATTGTGGCAACTTTGTGAAAAATTATAAACGATAAGACCGTATCAACTTTGTTTTCCAGAAAAAAATACCAGTGACACGATATTAGAGACAGAACCTAATAAGAAAACATGAAAGTACACGAATATGAACCAAGAATCATTTACCTGTTTATGATATTTTAAGCGTTCATATCATATAAAGAAACATTAGAATGTTTGCCTTATTGTAGTATATGTACATTATTTTTATTTTTTAGAGTAAAACCAGGATTCTAAAACAGTTTATTGGTTAATAAATAAATATTTCAAAAGATCCCCTTTTCACTTTCAAAGGTGTCTTAGTTTGTATGATAAATTATATGGTTAGAAATAGCAGCTCTCTAACCATAGATCTCTTAGCCATAGAGATCAGACTGGTAAAAAGGGATCAAGTTAACAGTACAGGGCGCATATATTATTGCGCTGATTTGGGCTTTTCCCCAAAGAGACTTCTGAAAACAAAAGGGCAGTTATAATACCAAGTATTCCTTTATCAGTTCACCCACAACTCCAGGCCATGAATTAACTTGTTCTGAGCCCTCACTTAAAAACAAAACAAAACAGAAAAAAAAGAAGAAACAAGTTATTCCCTATCTAGATAGTCCACTCATGAGTGTTCTATCCTGGTTGTAATTCCAGTTTTCTTTCTCACACAGGCATTTTATTAGTGCTTTCCAGAGTCAGAATCGTGGGGATATTTTATCATCTGGAGTGTCTCTGCCATGCTGATCTAAGCTCAAACCTGCCAGTTTATGGGAGGTGACAGACGATAAACACCCTATAACAGCTGAGTGTAAGTAGATGCTGCTGTATGTTTTGTTTTACTGCTTAAAAAAAAAAAATCCCAGTTTTAAAGTTTAAAGTTTTTAAAATACTATGCGTTTTAATTGGGTTTTTAAAATTTTGTTGTTGAATAATGATGGCAATTATTATAATTCCAATAAGTGAATATTTATAAATAATGGGATTCCGGAAGAAATTAATCCCTTGTTGATGGAAAAAAAAAGTTAATGAAAACATTTCCATGCATAATACTTTAGCTATTAAGAAACATAGTGAGGATTCAAATGCATATGTGAAGAAATTTGAAGCATTCTCCATAGTGTTCTATCTCAGTTTTATATAATGAAATGCAAAATTACTGGTAAAGCAGCTGTTCTGAGTTTTTAAAATGCAACTGTATCTATACAAATAATTGTCTTTTAACACAGAATGTATTTTGGTTAACTTGAAATAAATACTGGGTTTTTTTTTTTAGTGGAAATAAAATCTTAATAGTTCTTTCTATTTGGAAATAATGATTTTCTTTCCCCCTGCTAATATAGATAAGAACACAAAATCTCTTTGGATTTAACTTTGTTTCTTAATCAACAGACTAGGGAAGAAGGGCATTTATTCTTTCTAATTCGAACATCTGAATGGTATTTGTCTTTCTCTGTCTGGCTTATGTCACTTAGCATAATACACTCTAGGTCCATACATGTTGTTGCAAATGGTAAGATTTTTTTATGCCAAGTAATATAGTCCATTGTGTATATATATCACATCTTTTTTATCTAATTGTCTATCGATGGGCATTTAGGTTGCTTTCATATCGTAGCTGTTGTGAATAATGCTGCAGTAAACATAGGGTTGCAGATACCTTTTCGAATTAGTGTTTTGGATTTCTTCTGATAAATACCCAGAAGTGGAATTGATGGGTCCTAAGGTAGTACTATCTAATTTTTTGAGGAACCTCCATATTGTTTTTCATAGTGGCTGCACCAATTTGCAATCCCACCAACAGTCATGGGGGTTCCTTTTTCCTCCACATCCTTGCCAACAGTTGTTTGTTGATTTATTGATGGTAGCCATTCTGACAAATGTGAGGTGATATCTCATTGTGGTTTTAATTTTCATTTCTCTGATTATTAGCAACGTTGAACATCTTTTCATAATATCTGTTGGCCATCTGTATGTCCTGTTTGGTGAAATGTCTATTAAATGTCTATTTAATTGGATCATTTGTTTTTTTGATGTTGAGTTCTTTATAAATTTTGGATATTAATCCCTTATCAGATGTATCATTGTTGAATATCTTCTCCCAGTTGGTAGGTTGTCTTTTCATTTTGTTGATGGTTTCCTTTGCTCTGTAAAAACTTTTTAGTTTGATATAGCCCTATTTTGTGTTTTGTTTCCTTTGCCCAAGGAGATATATCAGAAAAAATTTACTAAGAGCAATGTCAGAGAGCTGTGTTTTCTTCTAGGAGTTTTATGGTTTAGAGTCCTACATTTAAGTCTTTAATCCATTTTGAGTTTAATCTTGTGTATGGTGTAAGAAGGTGATCTAGTTTCATTTTTTTCACTTATATGTGGAATCTAAAGAACAAAATGAACAAACAAAATAGACTCATAGATAAGGAGAACAAACTGATGATTGCCAGATGAGAATGGATTTGGGGGGCTGGGTGAAAAAGGGGAAGTGATTAAGAAGTACAAATTGGTAGTGATAAAATAGTCACAGGGATGTAAAGTACAGCATAGCAAATATAGTCAATAATATTGTAATAACTGTGTATGGTACCAGGTGGGTACTAGGCTTATTGGGGGGGGGATCACTTTGTAAATTATATAAATGCCTAACCGCTGTGCTATACACCTGAAACTAATATAAAATAACATTGAATATCAAAAAAAACCCAAAAAACATCTGAATGAAATTTAAAAGAATTGAGCCAGTTATCTTGATATAAATTGTTTCTTACAATGGAAGTCATTATTACTTTTGCTATATCCATTGAAACTGTTTGGGCAAAACTTAAGAAACCATGAGATTTTACCAGGGCCTTGTTTTGGAATGCTGGGTTTAAAAACAATTAATAAATATACAAGATATTCCCCCACTACAATGGGGTTATTTAATTTGGGTCTATATCTGTGTTGTCCTATGTGGCAGTCACTGGTCACATGTAGCTATTGACATTTGATATGTGACTAGTCTCAATTGAGATGTGCCGTACATAAAACACATACCTCGTTTCCAAAACTTAGTATGAAAAAAAAGACCAAAATATTTTCATAATTTTTGTAGGAATCACATCTTGAAATGATATTATTTTGGATAAGTTGGGTTAAATAAAACACTGTTAAAATTGATTTCACTTTTTTAACTTTTTAATGTGACTTTTAGAAAATTTGAAATGACTTGTGGCTTACATTATGTTTCTAATGTACGGAATGGGTCTGTGTCATCATCTACAGTCAACATTCTTAGTCATCCGTTACTTAGCGTTCTGTAGGCCTTAAACTTCCGGGTGTGTGTGTGGATCAATTAATATAAATCCATATTGTTTTAAGAAGATGTTCTTTGTTTCATCAAATATCTACTGAGTACCTACCATTTGCCAGACAGTATTCTAGGCACTGGTGATACGATAGTGTACAAAATAAACAAACTCCCTGCTTTAATGGAGTTGACATTCTGTCGGAAAGACACAGACTAAAAACAAATAAATAAAATATATAATTTATCAGAAGGCAACAAGTGCTTTGGAGAACATGTAAGGGAGGGATTCAGTTATAAATAGGGTGGTGGTCTCGGAAGGCCTCACTGAAAAGGTGGTATTTGAGCAAAGACACGAAGGTGAGAGAAGGTATTTGAGGGGAGGGTGTTCTAGGCAGAGGGAATAGTAAACACAAAGGCCTTAAGGCACTCCTGTGCCTTTCTCGTTGAACAGGAGGAGGCTCGGTGATTGGTTGGAATGGAGTGAGTGACAGGGAGAGAAGGAGATGAGATGAAAGGCAATGAATGATCGCATCATATGAGCAGTGGTTTTTGTAAGGATTTTGGCTTTAAGCAAGATGAAAAGGAATTGGTGAGGTTTGAGAAGAGCAGTAAGATGGTTTTTCTATTGAGGCTGCTGTGATTAGGATAGCCTGGGGGTGAGTGTGGGAGCATTGCAAGGGTGAAGCAGAGAGGCCCAATTCAAGGCAACTGTAGTGACCCAGCTGAAAGATGTTGGTGCCTGAGACATGATAAGCAAGGGAAGCGATGGAAGTCTAGGTACAGAATACTAGTTGTTGTGAAATTGAATATGGAATGAGAGAGAGAGAGAGAGAGAGAGAGAGAGCTGTATCAACGGTGACTCCGTGTTTGGCCGGAACAGCCAAAGAAACAGCCTTTTTGTTGCATCAAGGACGATGGTGGGAGGAATAGTTTTGGGGCAGCATCAGGAGCTCAGTTCTGGACACATTAAGTTTGAGATGCCTCTTCAGACATCTAAGTGGCAAAGTCAAGGTGGGAAAGTCTGGAGTTCAGTGAGAGAGAGGTCCAGTGGAAGAGGCAACATCATTAGCATTTAGCCGTTATTTTAAAGCCCCGAGAAGGGTTGAGACCACCAAGGGAGCAAGAGTAGATCTAGAAAAAAGGAGGGCCAGGGGCCACTGCAGCATTTAGAGATTGGGAAATGAGCTGCAGTCAACAAGGGAGACTGAGGAACAGACCCAGGTGGGAGTTGGGATATTCTAGTTCCCAAGGAAACAAAGTGTTTCGGGGAGGCAGGAGTGACCAGCCTCAAATGCTGCTGGTGGGTTAGGTGAGCTGTCAGCTGAAACTTGATTAGATTTAGCGATGTGGGGGTTTCATGAATATTAGTGACCTTGACAAGAGTACTTCAGTGCAGCGGTGGAGACAAACGTCCGAGTGGAATTGGTTCAAGGGAGAATGGGAGGAAACGAATCGAAGAGGGTGAACACACAGACCCTCTTTTCAGGAACCTGTGGCATCAAGAGGAGTCAGAGAAACTTTTGGTTTTAGTTTTTTCAGATGAGAGAAATTGCCGTGTTTCTCATAATGCGTGTGTTAGAGCATTTCAGGATATTCTTCTGCAATGACCCACCGGATTTATCACACTGAAGACCACTGCCTTAGTGTGTCTATGTGAGGAGGGTTCGTGTTTCCCTTGGAGGAGGACTTCATAGGCTTGTGTTTAGTAAAGTGCGTGTGCATGTGTGTGTAGGCGTTGGCGTTGATAATGTTAAAGGTTGCTTTTGCAATTTCTATGAAACTCAGCTTCGTTTCTTCACGTTCAGGGTGGGTAGTCACATTCTGATACCCAAAAATTTTAAGGAAACCAATGTTAAACTACTTAGTTCTCCTCAACTGAAAGTGTTGAGAAAGCTAGTGTTTGGGGTAAATTTCTTTTTTTTTACGGTAAAGGAAGTGGCCAAAGCATTGGAAGAAACTGAGGCAGAGACATGCCCAGAGTCACAAGACAAAACATTACCAGAATAACTGAATCTGAGATCTGATTTACTAGCTATGTGGAATGCTTAATCTCTCTGTATTTCAGCTCCAACAGGTCTAAAATGAGGATTGTATTTGTTCCACTTACTACATGAGGTTTTTATGAAGATCAAATGGGATAGTAGGTGAAAGAGCTTTGTGAACTATAAAGCATTCTATAAATATTAAGTAATAGTGTTAAAAGCAAGTTAGGCTTAAGAATTTTGTGGCAGTATTTGTATTAACTGGAGAAAAAACGGAATGTGACAAAATCTTGGTTGAGAATAATTATAATACATAATGATCCTAATAGAATCTTCAAGAATCTGCCTATTGCCTATGTCAAGCTTTGTTAATAACACCAGAGTCTATCATATTTGGACCATTATAGAGTTTTGTGGCCAAGAGCCATGGCTGAGATCCAAACAATCAATCAGCTTATCCCTTAGGAACCTTGAAATTACTAAATATCTGACTAATTTGGTACTTGAATAGAATGTTAGTTTGCTGAAACTATGTGGAAGAGCCAC